TTCTGCTCCTGCCTGATAAACATCTTCTTTTAACACAGGACATGGTGGCCCATTGGCACTTCCCATCAACCTGCAAGAATGAGTGGAGTATCCTTTAGCCACCAACAGTTTAGCAAACAAAGCGAAGAGGAATTTTTTTTGCCAACAGAGATTACAGGAGAGAGGTATGGAGGTGGCGTGTGATTATCTAAACCAATAATTGGGCAACAAGGTTGAGCGAAGGCCTTGAAGGAACAAAATAGTAGTAGAAGTGGATTTTGCAGCTCACCTAAGGCCTAGCTGTCCAAGAAGCACATCGCTTTCTGTTGTCACATTCAGCCATTGGTCACTACTGACTTGAGGACATTGACTCGCCTGGGGCAATACCCTCGGGCAATGGGTGTGTTTTTTTTGAGAGGTGTCTTATCCAAATACTGGCTCTGTACAATATGATCGGTAAGAAGATCCTATTCTAAAAGTGGATGGCTTCCAGAGTCAGCTCTGAGCTTTCTGTTGCTGATAGAAAGACAGAATCTGCCAATCTTCATTTTCAGTTGGACCAAGAACATGGGTGGGTTTGGCCTAGGAGGAGACCCGTGGAGTACATTAAGCTGTCTTCGGGAATTAGCTCCAGGGATGTTGTTCGGCTTCCTGTCTTCCATGTTGATTTGCACATCTGTCAACCCTTATTGGTTGACAGGTATTTGTAGTATTTCTTCTGACAACCTTAGCTAACCAGAAAAGAACTGGAAAATATTTAATGCATATGGATCTCTAGCAGCAGAGATACCTCTAGCCAGATCTTGAACTTGTATAGATTGGCATCACTACGGTGTCTTTTTGGCTGAACTTAGAGCTGCAGAAGATGGATCTGCCTCAGTGTTTTTGTTGCTGGCCATCCACAAAGTAGCAGCACAGATCAGAAGAGTGAAAAAGGATCTGCTGTTCTTCCCACTGCACTGATAGCGATTCCTCCCCATGCCTTTTCATGTCTCCTTGTTAAGCTAATTCTTTGGGTTCACAAAATCATAGGATCACCTGCTTTCTGGGACTCAATCTCTTTTCCCATGCCTCCTTCTGTGCATGAGGAATGTCTGGTGTCAGTGAGACTTTCCAGATATCTTTCCATGGTTTTCATCTAAGGGAATCTGAAAAAGAGGTGGATTCCCAGTAGGAAGAGCCGGTACTGACCTTCTGTCCTCTAGTCAGGCGGTCTGACGGCTCTTCCCGCTCCGGTGCTTGGGACAGAGGGGCCTGAGCCTTTGCGTTTGTTTCTGCGTTTCATGAGATTCACACCTGGGACGCGAATGTCTTCAACAGGAATGAAAAGGAAACGCTTTTTGCTTTTCGTCTTTCACAGCAATTTGGGGTAATCTGAGATTTAATTTATTCACCAGTTGAAAGGGAAAGGGAAATCAAGCCAGCATCTTTCTTTTGAGCCAAGCTCTTTCTTGCGTACCCCGGCACAAGCTCACACAAAAGAGCTCTGATCACTCTAACTAGGTGCTTGTTCTAATTATGGAAAGATTTAGCGTTGGTTACATAATTGCCCACTGCACATCAGCACACGCCATTGTTATACTACAAAAGCTGCTTTTTTTTCTTCTCCCCTCCCCGCAGCAGGCCCAGCATCAGCCTGTTTAACCGAGAGCTGCAAGGAACAGAATTAATCTGAAGCAACCTCCCGTAGCTTTTCCAGGAGAGGCCAGCAAAAATCAGATACTGACCCGCTCCCTTTGCCGGGAGCTTTGCCAACACGTGTGATCCAGCCTTTAAAGCAGGAGATTGATAGCCTGGGCCGCAGTCTTAAGCATCCCAGGTGGAAGCAGCAAGCTGTGATCAGGAATCAGTGGCTGTGCTAAGGTTACGCTCTCTATTTTGGATTTTTATATACAGTAGCACAGTAGCTTTAAATGGATAACCCACTATTACACCCAGTATCAGCCTGAGCCATGGAGGTCATGAATTTGCAAACACAAAAATCTATAGCAAAACTTCCACAGGCTGTAGTAGATACAGGAGTAGATCTTTTCCCCCTATTTTTAAGCTTATTTTTTTCTGTGAATCAAAGTGGTTGCTTTATGTTCAGCCTGCACTCATTTCTTTCTCATTTTCTCAGCAGTACATCACACGCACATCTCCCTCACCTTTTATTTTCTTCCTCTTTTAACATCACCCTCTTAACTGTTAAGCTTCCTTCCAACAAATAGTCTTTGCTGCATGATTTGTGATGGTCCAAAACTGAGCTGGGCTGCTTCACTGCACTCCATCAGTTCAAAAGCTCCCATCTGTCCAAGAAGGGAGAGAAACGTAGGGGATTGTAGCCAGTTTTGCCATTGTATGGCTGATGCATCTGGCCGTGTGGGCCCTGTATCCTCTGGGTGCTGCAGGGAAATCACCCGTAACTCTGCCCTTCATTACTTGTAGCTGCTTCCTCAGGAAGCCCACCTTGTGCAGGCATTTATGTTGATGTCTGCCCCAGGAGACAAGTAGGGAAAACAAAACTGAAATGAAGCCAGATGGAAACAAAAGGGTGCCCAGCAAATATTTCCAATATTCTTTTCATCTTTTAGGAAAACCTTTAATATCCCACTGTCCCACAGCCAGGGGGAAGGTGGAGAGGTTACCTTCACAGCACTTTCCCCAGGGGCTTGGATGAAAAAGCTGGCCATCCTGGGAGAGAGGCTGGTCATCAGGATCTTACCTTGAGCACGATGTCCTGGTTTATTACTCCTTCTTCTAGAAGTTGAGACCTTTTGCTTCATATTTCTAGGGCCCTTTTTGCCCTGCCTCAACCTTTTTGGGTGCAACTGTATCCCTGCAAATATGAATGGATACACAGTGTAGTGATGCCTTCCTGGATTTGTTTCAGTGTTTCCTGAATCCCTTCCTTCTTTTCACACTAGGAGAAAAGTTCAACCAGAAATGCTAAGTTTCAAGTGGATGACTATCAAACTGGGTATTTGCTCCAGGAAATATGAATCTCTTACAATATTTATGATGATTCAGCAACAATTTTTCATTCTCTGCTTAGTTCTTTCTCTCTTTTATCGTAATCTTTATTGCAAGAAGACTTTGGTGAAGAGATTGGTTTTGCATTGAACCTTGAATATGATAAAATTTATTATCATTTTCATTTCTTATAGTAAGAAACTAAAGGTTAGCTGCAGAGGCTGCAGAGAAAGCTTTTTTTTTTCATTCTGCAATTATTTTTCTTGTTGCCAACACCTTTTTTTATTCTTGATGAACACAGTCATTGTACTGGCTCATTCTCTTGGACAGAGAACTGCAGTTTCTGAGATGTTTATGATACACATCTCTTTGGCCTTTAAATATAAGCCGATATTAGGCAGCCACATATGCATTTCACTGAATGATATAAGCTAAGTAGAGCTCCATACCTTACACTATCAATTTTACACTGCCTGATGATCTGACCACATGATGGACAATGTTATTTCACGTACAACAGGAGCAGCACAAATAGAGGTTGGGTGGAGAATGGTTTGAGAGCAACCCTGAGGAGAAGGACTTGGGGGTGTTGGTGGATGAGAAGCTCAACATGAGCCAGCAATGTGTGCTTGCAGCCCAGAAAGCCAACTGCATCCTGAGCTGCATCAAAAGAAGTGTGGTCAGCAAGTCGAGGGAGGTGATTCTGCCCCTCTGCTCCTCTCTGGTGAGACCTCACCTGGAGTGTTGCATCCAGCTTTGGAGTTCTCAGCACAGGAAGGACGCGGACCTGTTGGAACGGGTCCAGAGGAGGGCCACGAGGATGATCAGAGGGCTGGAGCACCTCTGCTATAAAGACAGGCTGAGACAGCTGGGGTTGTTCAGCCTGAAGACGAGAAGGCTCTGGGAAGACCCTATAGCAGCCTCCCAGTATCAGAAGAGGACCTACAGGAAAGCTGGGGAGGGACTTTTTACAAGAGCATGTAGTGATAGGGCACGGGGTGATGGCTTCAAACTGGAAGAGGGTAGATTTAGATTAGGTATTAGGAAGAAATTTTTCACTCTGAGGGTGGTGAGGCACTGGAACAGGTTGCCCAGGGAAGTTGTGGAGGCCCCATCCCTGAGGTGTTTGAGCTGAGGTTGGATGGGGCTTTGAGCAACCTGGTCTAGTGGAGGTGTCCCTGCCCATGGCAGGGGGGTTGGAACAAAATGGTCTTTAAGGCCCCTTCCAACCTAAGCCATTCTAGGATTCCATGAAGTGTTCAACACTACTGCCAGAAGCCCTCTGGTGAGAGCACTCCCTTCATGCTCCCTTCCCACCATGGGAAGGACCGTGGTGTTGCCAGCCCACGAGGTACAGCTGTGCCGGTGGCTGTGCTCACACCTGGTCCCCGTGTGCTGCAATAATCACCAGGTGCAACTACAAGTCCCGGCGTGCCCCGCGGGGGCAGGGCCGTACCATGTGCGGGGCGGCGGGGGGCGCGGCGGCGGGGGGCGCGGGAGTTGAAGTGCCGGCGGGGCGGTAAGTGCCGGCTTCCGTGCGCCGGCGGAGCGGCCGCCGCGGTGCTGGAGGCTGCGGAGGGGCCGGCGGGGAGGGACGGGGACCGGGACTCCTCGCTGCCTTCCCATCTTCCCTGCTGCGGCCTCGGGCGCCTTGACCCGGTTCGTCTCCTCCGCCTCCCGGCTGGTGCCGCCGGGCAGGGGGGGCTCGCAGGCCCTGAGGGGGCGCGGGGGGAGTTGCCGCAGGGCTTGGCGGGTCCGGGGTTGCTTCTGAAGGAGGGAGTGGGGCGGGGGACGCGGGCGCTGAACCGGGAGGCAGGGCATGGCTGAAGGAGAATGGAAAGCACCCGGAGCCGGCCCCTGGCGTCCTTCACGGGGAGACCTCGGGCCGCGCTGCGGCGGCGGGGTCGGGGGGCGAAGCGGGCCCCGCGGGGGCTTTGCGGCGGCCTCGGGGGGTGCTCCCCGGGCCTCGGGGGACGGCGATGTCCCTCACCGGGGCGCAGGCCCGGGGGCAGGTGGCGGCGCCGGGCCCCCGGGGAGTCACCTCCCGTCCCCTCCGCGTGAGGAGCGGCCGCCGGGAAAGGGCAGCCGGGGGTGCCCGGTGGTGCGAGAGCGCAGAGGGGCAGCGCTCCCGGGGGGTGGTTCATCAACACCGGCCTTAACGAGCAGAGGCCCCCGCTTCTCAGTGTTGAGGGGGGTCTCTGCGGTGCCCCAGGGGCTGCGGTGACGGCCCACGTTTACACGGAAAACTCTGCACCTGATGCAAAACTCTGAAATACAACTTATTGCTGACAATTTTGTTTCTGTGCCTTACATTGGAGGGGTCTTAATTCTTTCCCTTTTTATTGGGTATGTCAAGGCAGGAGCTTTGTTGCCGGATGGCTCGGCTGTGCTGCCTTGTTTATTTGCCACCTCAAGGTCCCATCTTCTGTTGGTGACACACAGCTGGTGGGGATGGTGATAATGTGGTGTCACTGACTGCAGGTGATAGCTTCAGGTAGGAACAAGATGCAAGAACAGATGGATTTGCATCTTGCTTGGAAGCAAATGTTCTTTTAGTAATAAAGAAGGTGAAGGAAAAAATAATGGAAAGGGGAAGCGTATTTTCTCTGTTAAAAAAAGTCACTGTTTGCACTTTTCACTTTCCAATAAATGAAATTTTACAAAAACGTACAAGGAGCAGAAGTGGTTTAATTAAAACACTTTGCAGGAACCGTTGTTTTGAAGGTGACAGGAGATACAAGAAATTTCTTTACAAAAGAGATCAGTCCTCCTGGAAGAATTTCTAAATTTCTAGTATTTCTACCTCTAAATTTCTAGAATTTCAGTGGAAGAATGGGGAGGAGGGCAGGTGGGGTTTTTTTTGTTTGGTTCGTTTTTTTTGTTTGGTTGGTTGTTTTTTTCATTTGTTTGTTTGGGTTTGGTGGTGTTTTGTTTTTGTTTTTTTTTAAGCATGTATTCATTTGGCTGAAGTCAAGGGGCCAGATTTATTTTCTCTGGAGCTTGGTGGTAGGTTGGGAGGAGTCTTGATCAGCCAGCTACCCCTCTGACAGGAGAAGGAGCTGGGGTGCCTCAGGCAGCTCTGGCTTGTGCTGGCAGAATATATCTCAGCTTTTCTGCCTCAAAGTTACCTAGGGCTTGTAAGGAAATAAAAGGAAATAATAAAGTTTAGCTAAGGTTCATGTACAGGGGTCTTGTGTTATTTTAGACTGTTTTGCTGGTTGTGTTCTTGTGAACTGTTTTTGAAAGGCTTGACCCCTGTCACTGCATGTGTTTTTTGGTTACAAGGCTTCTAAGAGAAAAGGCATGAACCAGACTGACCCCACTAAAGGTTCACAGAGAGAAGTAGGAAAGTTTCTCAATTGAGTCTCAGAGTTGGAGGATTAGTGGACTCCATCTTGATGGGGTAAAAACCCACGCTCTGTCGAGGGTGCCCTTGCGTGCTTGCAGGGTGGGTGAACCATGCCTCTTGATTTGGGGGGTAAGTAGAAATAATCTAATACCAGCTAAAGGGAAAGAAAAAATTATTTTTTTTTTGTAATGCGATATATTGTATACATATATAACATACATGTGTATGTATACATATACAATATATTGTAATTGTTTTTTCAGGTCTGAATCCTCTAAAGTGACATAAAGAATCATAGTGTGTTTATAGCATGTAATGAATTACATGTTTACACTACTTTAAGCAATGAATGCAGGGCTGTGGAGTGCTTAGTGTGGGAGATGCATTTGTTCCCCACCCTTGTCTTCCAGAGGAAAAGTGAGTGAGGAGAGAAGCGTCTGACCCCGGGCCTGGCCTGGGCCTGTGGCAGAGCCAGGAATAAGCTGTTGATTCTTGCAGGTACCCCTTCTGCCACTGCAGTCCCTGCCTGGCACTCGAAGGGTTCAGTAATGATGAGAAAACAAGTCTGTCTTGGTCATTCTGATCGAGACCCCCATTCCCCTGTCTGCCACCGGCTGCTGGAGTTGCATGCGGCCTCCAGGGATGTGTCACCTCTTCTCCCACCACTCCTCAGCAGTCAGGCACTTTCACAACCACCCTGTCAGAGTTCCCAACAGGTTTCAGGTGCTCTTGGTGTTGCAAGAGCTCTTTTTGAATCCTGGTTGTTTATGTCTTCTGTTATCCCCTTGCAATCTGCCTACGCTGTGATGTCTTCCCAACGTTTGCAGTGAAGAGGTGGCCTATTGCTGTGATCAGAATTGACTTTTGATAAGCACATGCTCCCTTGTCTCTGTCCACTTGTTGTTTCTCCTCATAAAGCCTTTGTGACCATGAACTAATGTTTTGCTGCGGGTGCCCAAGGTCCAGCGCAGTGAGTTAATTGTGGCTTTATGGCCTGTAGACACTGTTGAGTTGGAAATAGCAAGGGAGTCAGAGCTTGCGTTCGGTTGCTGCGTGATCGCTTGAGCTCTTGGCTGGGGGCAGTGCTAGCAATGCATCATTAGCAACGGAGCAATTAAAACTTGGGTTGTCAGGTTCCTTGGGGCTACGGGCATCAGATCGTCACGTCTTTCTCAGATGTTACAGTTGCTGTTCTGTGTCTTGGCAGGGTTTATCAGTCATGGCACGAAGGGCCTTCAAACTTGCCTCGTTGGCGGCAGCCACTTCTGGAATCTACCTGTATGGCAACAAGTTCCTGGATCCCAATGATTTTGGAGTTGTTCGTGTGGGCCGAGCCATTGCCACAGTAAGTTTCATCCTAGTAACATGTAGGAAGATTCCTAGGTGGATAAGGGAATCGGAGTTCACAAGAACTTGGGATTTCCCACATTGACTCTGTGCATTTCCAGTTGGCAGCTGGTTCCAACAGTCAGAAGGTCAATAGGGAGCTCTTCAAGCTGTTGACAAAGTGGGGAGAAAAGATGTGAAAGCAGAGGAGGAACAGAGCTGTTTGCACATTTTGAAAGAAACAGAGATACTGAGTTGCAGAGAACTGTCTCTGTGTCTGTGGATAAGGTGGGACTTTCAGAGCAAGGGCTCACTTTGGGCCCACATCTTCATCAGCCCCCCTTCAAGGTCAGTCACCCAGGTACGGTATCCTGCTGCCTTTAATAGTGACTTAGTTCAGACTATCTTGTCTGCATTCTGTTTTAAGGATTGTTGTTGTATTGATATGCTACGGTACCCATTGCCCTGTGACCCTTAGTATGAGAGATCTGGGGAGAGGAGGGCAGGTGTTTTGAGGATCATTCCCAGAGCAAGGGTAAAGTGAGGATGGGAGATGATGTACTTCTGAGATTGGATTGGTTTCCAGATTTGTACAATAAAAGCTACATCTGTCTAGCATCACCACTATTTCACCCTTGTGTTGATCACTGCTCCAGAAAACCTGAGAATGGAGACTGCCAGCCAAACAGGTTGCTGCCTTCTCCTTGAGGATATTCACTGATGAATCCATGAGCAGCCAGGAGCAAGGACAGCAGAGACTCTGGAGGGGGTATCAGTCTTCCTGTACCTCACTTGCATTATACATGTGTCACTTCAGGCCACAATCTCCATCTTTTACAGACCCCCAGTGGTAAGCAGCTGTCTGTCTGCATATTCTATGACTTTTAAGCACTTCGTTAATGAGTTTTACAGGGAGTCAGTTCCTGAGGGCAGATGCAATAAGAAACAAGCTTTGGGGGTTGGCTTAGGTGCTGTGACATTTAGATGTGCGAGCTGCACCACGAGCTGTTGTAAGAAATTAGTATTTATTTTGAAAGAGCGAAGGCAGAAATACAAACTGTAATCTTTCCTTCTTAGGTAATAAGTGCTAAATAAGAGCTGAGCTTTGTGCTCTGTCCCTGGCCATGAAGCAGTGCTCTCTTGGGGGAGGGAGCAGCTCTCTCCCTTCTGGAAACTGAGGCATGGAGAAGGAACACAGGTTATTGTGGCTGGAGAGGAATCTGCTATCCAGGCTGTTTGGGCTCTCCAGTCTGCCCTTGAGTTCTGCCAGCTTGACCAGTGTTTCTCAGTCTTACTTGAAGCAGTGTTTTTTGTGACAAAAATAAGTGAGAACTGTGTAGTGATGAAGCTGTGCAGTTAGTCTGTGTTCTAAGTGATGGTGAGAGATTACTTTCCTGATTAATAGGAAGTAGGGGAAAGGAGATTTTCTTTGCTTTAGATGCTGGTGAATCTAAAGACATGCTTGACTTTCACATCGTCTGCCTTCCGTGAAGTCACAAGTCATGGGCTGTAAAGCACTTCACTGGCCCTTGCTGTCAAATGCATTAGAAGGTTCTGCACCCATAGCTGCAAGCAGTGACCCCCAAAAACATGCTGCCAGTGTTCTGTGTTCTGTAGGTGACGACGGCACGTGTTTATATCTAAGTCTGTATACTTTTCAAACATAAATTTTCTGTCTCTGAATTCTCTCTTCCCTCTGCTATATAGGACTGCATATGGTTAGGTTGCTGCTTTAGTCCCACACAAGTGACCTCTGCCTTCCCAGCTTGGGGTCACTCCTTGTTGGAAAGGCAGAGGTCACCTCTCATTCCTCAGCCATAGACTGGGTGAAGCCAGTAGAGCAATAAGACACGTTCATTTCTAAGAAGCTCAGCTTCTTGGGTTTGCTCTTTTTTGTAAATGAAAGCTCTATAGTCAAACAAGTGACTTTGGATATTGGTGGCATGTACATGGACTTAAAGTGTCTGTTCTTCAATCTAGTAAGAAGTAATCTGGAATTTGTAGGGGAAAGCACTGGTTGATCTTGTCGGAGTTTTTATGTCTCTGAGAATCAGTTTCACGCTGTAACATGAATGACATCACTTGAATGAGAACAAAGTCAGTGGCCTGGACACATCATGTTTCAGACAGTTTCTATGTCCTGGTAAAATCTGAAGCCTGGCAAAGCAGCTGTGCATTTGCTGTACTTTGAGGGTATCCCAGTTGTTTCGGGTGTGTGGAAGGAACGTTTTGTGCAGTAGCTGGAATATATCTCAGACACTAGCAGGGATTTGGCAATGTCAGAGTTGCCTATCAGGATCATCATAATACTAATTTAGTGTTTAAGATTACGATGTAATTAGCAACCGCTTAATTAATTCCCTCTTCCTCTGTAATACAGGCCAATCTGTTAGCTGCTTCTTTTCAAGTTGAAGGTAATAATTACCCTCATGGACCAGAGATAAAATAAGAACCAACTCAAGCCTTCATGCAAGGCTGATTTGAACCTCCCTCCACTTCAAAGTTGTTCTTTGAGGTTGGGAAGATGCTTTGAAAATATTTCTTCTGAATGTGACACTGTGTAGCTGTGCAGCTCCTGAGTTCACTAGGAGCAAGAGATTGAAAAGCTCAATTTCCAATCTGGAAGACAGGAAATGTGAGTAACCTAACCTCCACAGGGAAGGAGTGTGTCTGTCTGTAACTGATTCCCAGATTGATTCTCTCTTTGATGCATCTCTGAGCTTTTGACTGTTTCTCTATTGTCAGTTTCAGGAACTTCGTCTCAAACCAGATTTGATCCCCTTGCCTTCTTCACTTTCACATTAGATCGACTCTGGTTTATGCCCTTACAAGGGCATAATGAGTCTTGTGTAAGAATGAGGTTTGCGGTGAAAGGGGGAGCAGATAGTATCCTGTCCCAGAATGGGAGGCTACCCCTTCAGTAGGGAGGTTTGAGGAAATCTGACTTTAGATCTGAGTTACGCGTATGGTTCTTTATGGCAAGAATCTGGAAATTCAAATGATAGGTTAACGGACAGGTTCATCCAGGTATACAGTTCCTTCTCTTCCCTCAAGTAAACTTTATGAATGTGGCCTGTATGTTTCTATTCCGTTTGCTAACTGTGGAAAGATCAGAACTTTAATGGTAGGATAAAATTGTGAAATACCCTAGATCCATTTTCAGAAATCACTAAGGCTCTTAGGAATCGAATTCCATTTTCTGTGGCTATGTATAACTAATAAGCTTTACCTGGATCCCCATATTGTTGTTTCATAACTGGGTATCTGACCCTTTGTCCCTCTAGTCCTTTGTGCAGTTGAATATCCCCAAAAGTACCACTGCTTGTGCTGATTGGTGAGCTTGTCTTCAGCCACTCTGCTCCCTGCTGAACCCAGACTGAGCTCACTGTGCACCAGTGTGGTTGGGCAGGTTGGAGGTGTGAAGATGAAGCATGGGATAACTGGTGGGGCACAAACAGGATCTTCATGGCCCCTCTTACTGGCAGCAGAGCTTACTGGGGAAGTCAACAGAGAGCGGGAGTCTGCTGTGCAAGGTGCTGTACAGAGATTATGGAAATGCTTTGAGCTTCTCAAATGGAAGATAGTATAGGAGTGCCAAGTGTTGGTTATTTTTAATAGCTATACATCAATGAGGTCCCCACATGGCTTTCTAGAGATGCTAATTGAAATTTAAATATTTTCATTTAATTTCCTGTGGCTCTGTTACCGTAAACAGACTTATGAGTCTGTTACCAAAACTTTGGAACCTAAACTGCATACATTCTGCCTAGAAGAAGGTTTGTTGTTGTGATCTCAGATAACTGCAGAGCTTGCTCAACATTTCTGGTTTCATTTGCAGACGGCAGTTATCACCTACGACTACCTCAGCTCCCTACGGAGTGTCCCGTATGGATCAGAGGAGTACGAGTTCCTCAAATCACAGGTAGGTGATAGCACTGACTGTGTTCCTTGGAAACTGCAGGGCATGGGTGTGCTGTCAAAACCATTGCTGTAGAGCAAACCATCAGCTTAATAATTCGGTATGCCTTCTACTGAATTGGTAACAGCAGAGACAAACTGTGCTGCATATTACATGAGACCCTTGCAGGACCTTCATCACCCAATGGAGAAGATCCCTCATCAAGGGTAGCCTCATGCAACCAGTGCTCACTTATGTCCCTTAGAGATTCAGGTTCCCAGTGGATGGGATAAGATGCGTTTGGGCTCTGTCACTGGTTCTCTGCTGCCCAGACTGGTTGTGTGGAGGTCAGCTGCTGGGAGGGGACTGGCAGTGGTTTCTTAACCTGCTTACTGGTTGGTAATGGCCATAACAGGAAGGCTGAGGGATTTAAGTGAAAGGAGTGTGTTGAATGGGAAACAATAGGGATGAGTCAGGCTTGCAGATTTCTGAAGAAATCAGAAATGGGCAAAGAAAGGTAAGTGTCATTGCAAAACATATAACTGTGTTTTGATATTGCTAAGTAACATGAATAGAAAAAAACATTTCTAGTGAGGAGTAAGATAAGCACCCCTGTTGCTCCTGTCAGTCTTGTGCTGCACCTTTCATTCCAGCCTACAGCACCTTAAGCTGTGAGCGACACTGAGTTGTACTTGTGTGCATGTGGTTTCTCTGCTCTTCCAGCTCAGGTCCTCTTTGGAGTGGGAAATATAGCTTGTGCCAAATTAGGCTAGTCTGCATTGTATGTTTGAAGTAAGGTCTTTAACCTCATTTTTCTTCTTAGTGCATGTAGGTCACTCGTGCAGTTGTAATGTGTGGGGTAGTGCTCCCCAGGGACTCTCAGACTGGAGTGACTCTAAAGCTGGAAACAGCGGTGGGCCAGGTAGAAATCAGTGCCATTGGACTCCAGCATGCTTTAGTATTCCTTTGACAGAAAATCCACATCATCATCAGTGTGGTCTTATAGTATTTGTGATAGTTGCAGAGAGTTTGCAAAGTTTCCTCGGGCTTATTCTCATCCTCTCCTGTCTAAAGATGCTAAGCTGTTCTGCTGTAGCTCCTCATCCCAGGTGAGTGGCACTGATGCCCCGGCATAAACTCGAGATGGATGTGTTAGAGTCTGGAGCTTCACTTTCCATCTGCCCGTGTCTCTGCCACAAGCCTTTGAAACCTGCTTTGCAGAAAGGCTGCTTGTAGCTTTCTTGAGCTACACCCAAGTTATGGAGTTATCAGTGCTGTGGGCAGCTTGTCATTTGGCAGCAGTTTGCAGCAGCCCCGGCAAATTCCTGACCTTTTGCCGTCTCTCTCCATGGCTTCATTAACCTCTGTCATGCAGGTTTTGATGGTTTGTCAATTCATGCCCCAGGCAGCCAGAAAGGGCCCTGTTTGCTGGCGCTGGGCAAAGCTGTGCTCTCCTGCTTGGCAGCCAGGACTCGCTGAATCAGCCTCGGCGCGTGGCAGAGCCAGTGGCAAGCGCAGGATGTCAGTGAAACACAAGAGGACTCTCTGGCATGGCCAGCACTAGCCTTGGGCTGCATGAAGAGGAATGAGCTGAGAGATGGAGAGGAGAAAGTAGGTGCAGGCATAGCATGAGTTAGCAAAACAACCCGTTTAAGGGCAGGCATCAATGGGCATCTGAGTTGCTGTCAGTGAAGTAAGAGGATTGCAAAGGGTCAATCGTGTTGCAGATTTTGGCACTAGTGGCCACAGTTGAAATTCTTGAGCAGAGCTTTTCTTTTATTGTTTTCCTGTGTAAGACAAAAGATTACTGCTATGAATGTGGGTACCAGTGGTTTTTTTCTTAAGGAGAGAAGATAATAAGAAGAGAAAGGCTCTGTGGTCAAGGTGTCTCAGGAGACAGTAGGAATCCATTCTTGTATTAACTTTGTTGGCCACAGATTTGCTTTGTCAGGGAAAAGCCCTTTGGGGAGGTTAATTAACTTTCTTCCTTGTGAGAGCAGAATGAGGATGTTCTCCTCGCTCAAACTCCTGGCTATTGGGCTGTCAGTATCTGGGCAAATATTTGGAAGTTGTAACCTTGTGCCATCGTTATAGAGAATACAACTTCATGCTCCTTGGAGGCTATTCCTGGCATTTGTTGTGTTTGCTTCTCACAGCGAGGTGGGTGTTTTCAAAATGAGTTATGAAGTAGCTCAGTGAAGTCGCTCAACTGAAGAATCCTGGAAAGAAAATGAGTGGGTGTATGTGTGTGTGTTTTTCAGAAATAATCTATAGTTTCTGGATAGTTCAGACCAAAAAAATAGAGTATGTCTTTGGACTTCCCTCATGATTCAGTAGCGCTATGTGCCTTAAATAATAGGAAGTGACGTCCTAAAATAGTTTCTTCATGATGGAGGTGGACTGCATCTGCAGAGAGAAATTCCCAGGAGCTCTCCATGGCATTCCTTCAAAAAGGCAACTGTGAATGGGGACTGTGTACTGTTTTACACCACAGCTAGAGTGCATGGTGGTGACTCTCCTTGCTTGTGCTTCAACCTGTGGTGAACTGGGATAAGAAGCAGCAAATGAACTTCCCTATGAGAGATGGAGTAGCCATTAGGTGGCAGTGACTTTCTGTCACCAAGCTAAATGGGAACCAGTAATAGAGAGGTGAAGAGCTTCACAGCCCATCCACAGTCCCTGAGCTGATCATGTTTGGTTGCCCTATTATGTACTCCCCAGGGTATCTCTTCATCTAAAAGGCATGGTTGACGCTAATGTAGTCTAAAAAAGCTACTAGCAGGGCCAGCTGGTGGCTTGATGACTCTACATTTGAGCTGTCTAGCAAGCTTCCTGCCAACACATAAAGCATGAAAGCTTTGCACTGAAAACACATAACAAGCTGTAAAATAAATCTTATAATTATAAGATACTTCCTTTTCCTCCTTCTGCTTTCTAGAGTGGTGTCAGCTGAACATTATGGCCGCAGCATCGCTAGATTTTAATTCTGTAACATTAGGAAGGTCCATTTTTGGGGGATGTGTGCCTGTGAAACAAGATGTTCTTCAGTCCTCTGCAGTGATTTATTCAGGGAAACAGGCCATCTCACTGACATTTTTGGAGTAGGAAGAAGGAGAGAGGTGAGGGTAGTACCTCATTTATTGCACATTTTTTTTCCTGGCTGTGCACCTTCGTCCCTGAAGTGCTTCACCCCAGGAGCACGAGTGAGGTTTAGGCACACGACTTACCTAAATGGTCCTGCATCTTTCTTGCACCTCCCCAGTGGGAGGGAAACCGAGTGCCTTGGGAGCATTTAGGCTTCTCTCCTGCAGGTGGGGCTGTCCCTTTTCCTGTGAGTCCCCGAAGACCTCATTGCTTTGCTTCCTTATAGCTGCTGAAGAGATTCATAATACCAGAGGAATATCTGAAGAACATCTCAACTGCTAAAGTAAGGAAACCATTAGGAAGCCATTGAAGGATGTAGGCTGAAAGAAGCCTGCACCATGAGGAGTGCTATAAAAAGAGCAAATGGAAGGTGAAAAAATAATCTTTCTTTATTTAGTGCTTGGACTATGCCTTGAGTCCCAGTATGAAATGAACACTCAGCAGTGCAAAGTCAAGAGATATGGCAAGAGATGGTGTCTTCTCTGAAGAGCTCATGCTTGAGATGTATTTATTTGCCCAATGGTGCAAATAGATAGGCACGTAGGATTTCTCAGAGGGTTGGATCAGGCCCTAATTAGGGATGTCTCTTACTGAAGGACTGTGTAGCCTTGAACTGCTGGCCAGTTTCTATGACTTGGTTTTTCGAGGCCACTTGTAAAAGCCTTAGAGTTGGCAGGTAGTCAGTGCTTTACCTATTTTAAGAATAGGAAGACAGCTGGCTTGAGAATTGAAATAGTCATATCTGAGACTAGGAAAAACAGATATGTCAAGGATTCATTTGAGGATAGAGATGCATCAGTACTTGCAATGGCAAACTGGGTTTTTAAAATGTTGTTTTGTTTGTCCTTTGAGTCCTTAACAAGACCCATATTGTAGATTCTGTTCCCCTTTCTAGGGTTACTGCAGTAGCTTGCAATGAAACAGCAGCTTGAAGGACCCCAGATTAGGAGTACAGAGATGTAAAAACAAGAGTGAAAAGACTAGTATGGCATGTAGAGGGTATTTCACGTGTCAGGCCAGGTTGGAATTTCAAAGCAGGACTGAATACTGTAGACTTGCTCTGCTAAACCAGTGACCTTATCACATTCTCCCCAAAGTGTATCTGATAAAAGAATGTGCTGGAGGGTAGCACACAATTATCTTACCTGTCAAGCTGGTGTCTTCATTTAGTCTGTTAAGTTAGCGTTGAGGGAATTGCTGTAGTGGGTGGTGTTTTGAAAACACATCTCTGGACTTGGCCACCTTGAAGGTGTCTTAGTGGGTTCCAGATAAACCCTTTTATCTATGTGGAGGCCACCCTGTTTACATACTTGAGGGAAAGGTGTCTCTGAAAGGAACTGCTGTTCTCCTCCATCCGGTGTCCCAGGACCAGGCAGGACTCTGCCAGGCTGAGGAAGCCCTGAGGACTAAGAAAAAAGGAAGCTATGCCTCTCTTGAGTTGGAACAGTTGCTGATTTAGTCTAGGAACAGAACAAAATGTGGAGTTCAGTGCCTGGTTTGGAAGCTACCCCTTACTTTATTTGCCAGGGGGTTCAGGTGCCTTGCCTAGAAATCTGCTGATGTGAGCACATGTCTGTATTTTTGTTTTGTATTTTTGCACATCTGTCTGTAGACATGTGCCTGTGTCTTGGGGTGTGAGTGCTTCTGTTGAAGCAGCCACTTCTGAGACAGAGTCAAAGGTTCAAAGATGGCTTTGGAGGAGTGAATTCATAGAACTGGTACTGAAGGACTGTGTAGCCTTGAACTGCTGGCCAGTTTCTATGACTTGGTTTTTCGAGGCCACTTGTAAAAGCCTTAGAGTTGGCAGGTAGTCAGTGCTTTACCTATTTTAAGAATAGGAAGACAGCTGGCTTGAGAATTGAAATAGTCATATCTGAGAC